CTTTTTTTTTTTTTTTTTTTACTTCCCAAAAAGGGGGGGGGGGGGCCGGAATCCGCCCCTGAAGGCCGTGATTTTGATAATAAATACTAAGGTTAATACAATTAAAACTAAATGATTATTATTAGTAAACAAATTAAAAATTACACCACTGAGAAATAACTGTTCAGAAAACCATGAAAAAAAAATGTTCCACATTTGAATTTCCTTTTTAGGATATAATTATTATGTTCTACAACACAAAATCAACGTTTGCTGCGCACTTTTGGGAATAATAAGCGTTTAAATAAACATTCAATTTTTAGTGAACTGAAGCATAGGAAATACATTAAAAAAATTATCTCTGTCACACTTTAAAAAAAATTATCTGTCACACTTTTTGTGATGGAAATGACCATAATTAAATAGATGTAAAGCTGAGTGCATTCAAAAGAGAGATTGTAATGTCTGAATACATAATAATGAACACTGAACAAGGTGCTTTCTAACAGAATAAGCCAGATCAATATTCACCCTTATTTTATTGGTATTACTGAAAAAAAGAGAACATTAAGAAATCATCTCTGTCCCAGTAAAATGTGACCGCGGTGACAATGACGGAGATGACTGAAATAAATATTTGTTCATATAACATCATTCCCATTTTGTTTACATGACGAAAACCATGTGTGCTTTGAATTGTACACAATTATAATCGTCTTTATGAATAATATTTTAGAAATAAATAATACATAAGGCATGTTCTAATGCGTTGATGCAGAATAAAGGTACTCTTCTGGTTTTACTTGAAAGTCCACCAATTCCTAAGCTACCATGTTTTTAACTGTACAAAAATGGATCTATTCTTACTGTATGCTCCCCATATCCAAAACGGTTTGATCCATAATTCGTTTGTCATTTTTTTACCAGCAAAAAAACCATGATGACTGAAATGCAGGGTCACATTTTTTTTAGTTTGAAAAAGTCAAATTTTATAAATTTATGGTTTTATTTTGTAGTTTTTAATTTTACATTTAAAAGAGACCACACATACAGTACTTGTCTTTTGGTGGTATAATTATTCTTCCAGGTTACTTTACGAATTATTGGAGAAATGAAATCGGAACATGCATTTTTAGGGGGTTTTGTTGAAAATAACCCATATGGTTATTCTTTTTAATTTTTTAATTACACTACTTTCAATTAGAAACATCATGTTAAAAATTATTTTACCGCAACAAAAATCAATTTTCCTTTAATACTTTTGGTTTTATAGTACCTTAAACTGGACATGGTATGCCACTTTACCATAATGACCCATAACTTCCCAATAATAATAATAATAATAATAATAATATAACAATAATAATAATTTCCCAATGATCTGTGTTCTCAATTTTAATCAATTTTTTACTTTGAAATATTCCTTTGTATGTTGTTATATTGTGAACGCTACAATCTTTATGGAGCGCCACAGATTTAAAGGTGTATTTTCTAATCAATATTATTACTATTATCAACCAGTGTTTGGAATGCATTACATAAGGCTTACCTGGTAAGATTGAGGAAGTACGGATAGACGTTGTCTTGGTAACATCGGTCAATTTCTCCAAGGCAAGTTCGTAATGTTTCTTCAGAAGTTGTATCTTTTGGTACACCCTACATCAGTTGAATATAATAATATCATGCAAGTTTAAACATCTGGATTGGTATCAGGCGAGACATTTTATTCCTTTTGTCGCCAACTTATTTTTTAAAAGATTGTCAGAGGAGGGCGGAAAAAAATACCTCAAAAATTCAATATAATTTTGAATAGCTCATTTAAAAGCTTCCAACAAGAAACAGAAAGTAATTTTCACCAAAACTACAAAAACCCATACATTGATTACCAACCAATTTAAGGATTTATGCAAAAGAATACAGGAAGGTTATTATTTAACTATCATCAAAGTTTTAATTTTAAGTTAATAACTTACGGTACTTAAATATACAAATTAAACATTTAAATTAAGCAATATTTTTACCTGATTAAATTCATTGAGAAGGCTTTTTTAATACCTTCTTACCTGACAAATGGAATCAAAATGTGAGGGTGGAAGATAAAAAATGGAGAAATGGCATTTGGCCCTTGTTTAAGATGTATGTACCAAATTCAAATGTGAAATTAAAATTTTCAATTTTTTTAAATTCCTGATTAAATTCATTAAGAATTTTTTATACCATCCTACCTGGGACAAATGGAATTGAAATGTGAGCGTGAGATAAAACATGGAGAACTGCATTGGGCCCTTATTTAAAAGATGTATGTACACTGAAGTGGGGTTCACAAAGATCCTATTTCATGTCATAAAAAATGTAATGTTGCAATATAAATAGTTCAGTAATCAGATTGATAAATGCTTTTTACATATAACTGAGAGGAAGACATAACGAATTCTTATTGGAAGATTTTATCACAGCAGTGGATATGACAAAAATAAATCAAATACTTTATTTCCATTTGTCATCATAGCTAAGTTTGTGTTAATATGAAAAAAAAAATGTTAATTACATTTAAAATGACCACTATCCTTGGGCAGCGGATTTAAAAAACAAGGTATAAAAAAGCCTTGCCTTGTTATAATGAAAAATATATGCAGGCTGTGTGCAGTAATTACACTAAAGAAAGCAGGATAAGCTAAAATTTAAAACATAATTTTGAGATCAATAATGTAATCTCGATATAAAAGCATAATAATATGGAGTTAGTGACAGGTGAATTTTACCAGTAAATTTGCATCTCAAATGAGATTTACTCTCTACTTAAAGGCATGTTTCCTATAGTATTGATTTGTATTGGACAGCAAGTAAATTTAGTAAAGTATTAGTCCTTCACGGTTGAGTGCACACCATCTTTACATGCCCACACAAAGCCAACAGTCCACCTTAGCAACCAGTAAGCAAATAATAAACACTATGTGAATGAAGTCATGGATACTATGATGCATTGACAATAATGAGGCATGGTTGCTAAGGAAAACCAGCTTTGGTACTGGTTGTACACCACTGTAGATGCCATAATCCATGCCATATAATAAATTATATTTTGTTTATCATCTGTTATATAAATGCTTAAATTTTTTTGTGTGTATCATCTGATATCTTTATTGCTTTAGGTAGAATTCATGAATACCTAGGTTAAATTGTCCCATCTGGAATGAATACAAAAATTTTAATTATTTGATTTGATTTTGAATATTATCATGAGTTTTATCCGGTCGTCTGTGGCAGGGCAAATGTGTTTCCTGTCCTTTGTTCGAGCCACCTAGACAGAGGTCCGGGGTTGTGCCAGGGTGGTGATGGATGGTGACCCCGAAGAGTATTTGCATCTTATTTTGCCTATCTTTCCCATCTATGTCTGGTCCGACACAAATAAATATACATTAAAGATTAAATAAATAAATAAAATTAATTAATTCACATAATAATGCGGAAAATGGCTACATGTACGCTTGCCATGTGGAAAACGGCGCCGCGAGCACCCCTACTAGGGATGGATACGTGCGCCTAACAAAATGACATTATTATTATTTTTAATATTGTAAAACTTGCTTAAAATAAAATACTTAAAAAACAACAAAAGATAGAACATAGCACATTAGAGATAATAACGATGTCCAAGTTTTGAAAGGACTTGTTTTTGTTGATGACTTTTATTACAAGAATCGAACCAAGAGCATAATTATTGGAAAGATAGCACCTATCCATGAAACCATAGCTCCAAGTCCTTATATAGATAAAACATACTTGTTTTGCATGTAGAATGTTATCAGTAAAAATGTATCTCCAAATGTATTAACATATATTTTCAAGAGATTTAATTCAAATTAGTTGGTTTATCTAGGTTTTTAGACCATAATTATTTAGGCACCTGTCCAAAGATGACCTATTTTTAATAGTATACAAACTTTCAATGATTATTTACTCTATCTTTATCTATATAGTATCACCTCCTTGTAAGTTTAATAATTGAATCGCTTTCTGTCCCATATAGACCACTTGAATACTTCAAATAAACTAATCTATAAATAGTAGCATACAGAATAGCGCTGGTAAAGTTTTGGGTTTTCAAACGATGGTATGCAAGTTCATTTCTATGGTTCTTTAGGCTTTGCATACTGCAGGTTTCCTTGGAGTGAGGCCCTTTATGAACTCTGTTTGGAGAGGAGTGCTTTATGTATTGAATTACATGCATCAGGGAGATACCTCCCTGCATATAGGTACAGTAGTTATTATATTCCATGGAGTGGAAAGGAATTGTGTATGATGATTTTATTCTTCATAATTGCATTTCATTTAATTAGTCCCAAAGCAACAATAAATCACACACATAATACTAACAGAGAGAGGAAAAAGACCAGGGGGGGGGGGAGAATATAATTTGTTAACCATGGAAAATGTACTATAGTATAAGTAATCATAAAATACACTGCTATACAAAATACGATTTCTTTCATAGAAATTCAAGCCTATGAAAATAAAATGTTTGGATCGATGCTGATATAGACAGTTAATAAAATTTGACTTTCACCATAGAAAATTATTCATAGGTATTATAAATACTAGTAGGCCTACTAATATATATAAATATTTACAATAATGTGATGAATGTAACTTACCCATCGAAGATCACACTCGACTAAATGTAAACGTCGCTTCTCACACCACTGACGTAAATCAGGAAAAACCTGAAGAATAAAATCCATACATTGATAAAGTGCCAAAATAAATGTCATTACAACAAAAAAATATAATAAAATAATATTTTCATATGTTTTCAGCTAACCAGAAAACCAGGTTATAATAAGATTTTTTTTTCTATTTATTTAAAATCAAATTAGAGATCCATTTTGCTATATTTCTTGTCTCATTAGATTTCAAAAATTGTGATTTGACATTTAGGAAAACTCAAATTTCTGCTGAGTTGCACAAATTTACAACCACAAAAATAATAAAAATAATATATTCAATGTATTTGTTTCCCTCTTCTAGCTAGTTGTCAATGCCAACTGACTGAGGATATATGGAAAGGTTTATTTGGGATTAGATAGGTGTGGAGTCACCAGGAAACAATACTGTACACACTTCATGTAATAGTCCAGCAAACTTTGGTTGGTTGCATTTTTTTTTGCTATATTTTTTAAAAATTGGATATGATGTAGAGTAGACATAGATAAATCAAAAATGTATGTGCAACATTTTTTTTTTCATACGTGAG